TAACGCGACTTGTTCTTTTTCGTCGGGATTCAGCTTGGATATCTCCACTCGCGTCAGATGTTCCTTTATTGGCCTGGTCTGCAATAGATTATTCACTTTTTAGTATGGTTCGACGAATCGCGGGTCGAAGGGACTTACAGTTGCTGCGAGTCGGTGGCTGTGTTCCGCGGACCAGACGAATTTCGTGGAATGAAGGATCCCGACGAACGTTGACGAAACGAATTCCATGGTTTCATATCGTCCTGGAAGTAAACATGATTTCAGCTTCAAGAATGGAATGCAAAATCCATTTATATTTCTCTTTCAGTAAATGCCTGTGCCGTACTGGCGACTGACACAATAGTCCACATTTTCCAGATAATGGTCACATTAAAAAGACGATTTTACTTCTACGAAAATATCAGCAGCAAGAAAAGCGATATCAGCTTAAGCACTTCCAATGCCGAAAAATATCAAACCCAGAGCTCCTTTGGACGGAAATGGCAAAGGATTTGTCGAACTCCAGATCCGTAGGGACGTTCGATTGTCGCATACTCGCGAGGCGGCAATGTAGACGTAACAAACCAAGCAGCACGCTCGAGTGAGAGAAAATGAATCACCGGACGGCATCGCCGAGAAAGAAAAGTAGACGGCCGAGATGGACGCGGCGATGTCGAAGGCCGTGGAGATCATCGCCTGCCAGCACGTCAAGGACTCCAGGCATCCGAATCCCCGACTCGCCCGGCCGTATCTCAGGCGAAGCGCTTCCAGCTCTTCGCTCAAGTCGGTTTCCTTCAGTCCCTGTGTCTCAGCTGAATCACGGAATTCCTCCATTTCCGTAAATATTGAACTTGGACATTTCCCAATGGTCACGTTATTGGAATTGTAGCCAACTTTTCTGAGGGATTTTACATTCGTGTTGCAATACTCATCAATGAAGCAGGCAGAATATCGAAGGGCGACTTCTCAGTCAGCACAACAGCATTGATGTAATGTTGTAATAGCATTAAAGGTTCAGCATCCACCATATCGAGTCAATACGGCAGTATGAGCATGCGTAATATGATTACTGGAGTGCTCCGTGAATTATGAGCATGATCTGGAACCCTTTGGCATCGAAAATAGATGCCCCTCTCCACATCGACTCCGAGTCGAGATTGGATCGAGATGTACTGGCATCGGGGAAAAAAAAATCGAAGTGATTGTAGGCAAATATTAGATGGCTAGCAAACTCCCTATGGATCATTCCACGCAATGCATAGGATCGTATGTCTGTTATTCCTTACAGTTGCGACGGAGGAGATTGATTCAGTCATATCCACGGGTAAAAATTCCCATTCGTCCGTTCCTCGGGCCTCAATTCCCGAGGGACTCGATGGGTTGGGTTGCGTCTTACGTGGGGTATAGCCAAGAATTCAAATCATGATCCCGTTGTCGTCTGTGGAGAAAATACCGAGTACCGATTCTAAACCTCTGGTAAGCGTGCCGGTTACAGATATGAGGTAAGAACTTGTGGAAGAGATCTCTCGCCGGATTTCTTCGCAGTCTAGAAATTTTTTGTTCAAACGTCTCGCCAGATGTTTCACCCGACATGAAATATTGCTCGGACATTGTCCTCACAAAATTTACCGTCAAATTCGCGTCAAATATGCATTGCATCATCGGCCTCTACATTACATCAAAGTCATCAACATTTTATCAACGTTGAGTCAACGTTGTCGTGCAGACTGGGTCATTTATATCAGCAAAAAAGACGACAATTTCCTCACAAACTTACCTATTATTTCACCTGGAGTCCTGCCCTCCTGGAGATCGGAATCCTCGGCAATACAGCCTCTTCTCCGGAGTAAAGCGAGAGTGTCTCTCGAGAGAGAGCGATGAGGACGTTCTTGAAGAACTGCATGAAGAAGATCCTCAGACACAACCCACTCATAGTCACCCAAATGCATTCGAAAACCACGCAGACCACGACGACCCGATGAACGCTGACGTTCACGGCCGACCGTGCATCCCGAAACACGGCCGGGCCGAGCGTCATCATGAGCGCATAACACGCCGTCGCCAGCAGCTGCAGGATGACGACCTCGACCGTCACCCGCGATGCGTCTCGCTTCCAGTCCTCCACCTTCATGCTTCCCCGCGAACTTTGCTCCATCCACGACTTTGCTCCATCCTGGAACATGGGACAATGCCTGGATTTCAATTGAAATCTTCTGAGAAATCAGTCCAACCAGACTTTTTCACGTTTCCATTGGGAATTCATGCTTGGAAATTGTTTCTCGGTCCGATACTGCAACGTAGCACAATTCAGCTGCCTCCACTAATTTCTATGAATCTATCTACAGACAAACGAAGGTCTACGAGTTAAGGAGTAGCATGGGTGACGATATCGTATGGCTCTGAAACTGGAATGAGACTAGAGTCGTAGAACTCCCGCGGTGATATTTCACTACCCGCCATCCTCCATGGATTTCGGTCAATGGCAGGTATGCATCTGTTTAGTTGTCTATTGCACGGTGTCTGTGAAGCGCGATTCCTTCTGTCTCGCCGTTTTCCGTCCGTCATTGTTTCGGGTACTTCTTCCAGCAAGGCTTTCCCTTCAGTCCTGTCCTGCAAGTTGGTCCTTCGTCCTCTGTCCTTCCAAGGCTGCACTCAATTGAACATTTTGTGATATTGTCTTCCTTACATCTTATAACCGAGATATTAACAATAATATCCTTTCCTGCTATTAGACAACGTCTTTCAATTGTCATTAGTTGTCACGTTTGACGTCTTGTCCTGTCAGTGGATCGATGCCGGACCCATTGTCTTATATGTATCGCTCGTGCAAAATTATTATCTTTCCAGCTCTTTGGTTTTAGAATAACAGTAGCGGAGTTCCATTCTGAGAGCTTCCACACGAAAAAGACTGGACACTGAAAATCGCACATATTGAGGGTTTTTCAGACCTAGACTCGCTTCTCGTAACTTCAAATAATTCAAGAACGTTAAAATAATGGAGTAAATTCTGCCCGTACCTGTATATAGATCCACAGGCGTAAAAAAATCGGAGCCGCGAAGCCACCACGAGACCCAAATGAAGGTGGTGGTGATGTAGACCCCAGCCAATAGCACGCCGAATGTGATCGCGTCCGTGTCGAAGCCGCTCTCGCCCAAGGAGCGCTGTTGGCTTGAGACGAATGCATGGAGTATCAGGGTACTGGAACCTGCGAGGAGTACGACGAGAAGAGACGCGTATAGGATATCGCAAGTCCTCCACAGTCTCTTGGGTGGATGGAGGCAGTTGGCTTTGAATATTCCAAGCAAGCTCCAAGGGAGCAGGCCGAAGAGGCAGTAGCATGTCACGATGGCTCTGCAGCACCTCGATGCCTGCAGATGCCGAGAAGCACTGGTTACTGCCTGGCCTGCTGCGACGACCACGCTCTTGCCTTTCCTCATTTCTATCTTTCTTTTAACCTCGCTTGCACACGGGGCCGATTCTGGCAGAGGAATCGCTTGGGTAGAAGAGCACTGCCTTTTTACTTTCTGGGTGTGGTCTGTAAATTATAATGGAACATAGGGTTCGCATATTCGGTATCGAGTTGGAGCTTCGGTCATCATCCCTTATTGCTTGTGTACCCACCTCCTTTCAATATAGATTATTCGCCGCGTCACACCCCGGTCTAGTTGGCATGGAATAGCGTGGTCACACCCAAGGTTTTGCTCAGATGTCATACCTTTCTTTCATGTGTCATTGGCAAACTAATGACCACTCCTCAGAAACCCAAAGATGGGAGATACGAATGACGTACCCTACATTCTCAAAAGAATTGGGACAAAGGCCGATATGATAAGCAACCATCGGTCCATGCTCAATCTCCGTCGGCTCTAACGCGCCACCCTGGCAAACACCGACTGTGACCGATTCCAGGCGATCGTTACATATTCTCATACTATAGTAATGCCCTCTGGGACAATCTGTTATCCGCGGAGGGAGGATTGTTCCAATACTTTCGGCAATATTGTGGATATTAAACCTTTAATAAAAAAAAGTTTAGTGCGCCTAATTATGAGTCTTTTTTGCTTTCGGTTTTCTGGAAACCCTCTGAACCCTCGCATCTTTAATCCTTAACAACAAAAAAAAATAATTTCGAAGTTTCATACCACGCTCAATGTGACTTTCCTGTCTCTTCCTTAGCACAATAAAAAAAATATTAATGCGCTCATATTTTATCCTACTTATAGACTGGGGGAATGCCGTCTGGAGGAAGTATCCGGTATTTTCCAGTACATTTATCAGTTCTGATTCGTGTTTCGAAATTATTTCTATCAGATCATGTTTCTTAAATTGCAGATCGGCGTAACAAGGTATATGAACTCCTCTGGAGAATAAAATCTTGGTATCTTTTTTATTCTAATTCTGTTTCGAAGAAAGGGCGCCATGATTTTGAGGCGAAAAGGAATTCATCCGGTGAAAAGGAATTCATCTGGTGAAAAGGAATTCATCCGGTGAAAAGGAATTCATCCGGTGAAAAGGAATTCATCGGCGTGGTGAGATTCGTCCTCATTCCCTCTTTTCCCTTCCTTCGAAATATTTATTAATCCAATTAACTTGGTTTGGAAGAAGACGACACCAGATGTCGCGCTTGCTGAAGCCTGTTTGAAGGTAAACAAAAGAAAAAGCAAAATCCTAAAAATTTAAATTAATATAACGGCGTATTTGACATTTTAGTTTTCTTTTTTTCTCACTCTTTTTTACTCGGAATGATTATTTGTATCAACGATATACCATCTTGATCGCGACCCCTCGAACGGGATGGAAAATCCACAATCTATCATTTGCTTAGGGCGAGCATTAGCAATTCCAGGAATTCGTCTTCGCGTTTTCAGAAAGAAAAAAAAAAGAAACGAGATTGCGAAGAACAGATTTCCCTTTTTTTTTCTCACCGAACCAACGTGATTCATCGTGATTCATCGTGATTCATCGCTGCATGAATCTCCCTGTGGATTCTCCCTCGAGGGATTTCTCGCCCAGACAGCCAAGGGAAATGGGAATTAAATATAATTATTATTTAGAGGAGAATTAATCTCCAGTTTCTTCCTCGGCGGTGAAACAGCCGATTTAGGTCCTTTTCAGGCGAAACGTCCGTTTAAAATTCCCTGAGGAAATTCGAGCTCTGCAGACGATGGAGTCAAATCCACCAGATTCCCCATTCCCATTTTTTTTTAAATGAGTATAGCTCAAGTTGGACCCATTTCCGAGACCGGATCGGTTTCCGTTCAACCGATTTGGCAAACATGACACCCAGAAGATGGAAACGAGCCAATTTTCCAGCAATCTCCTCGCGAAGTCTCGAAGATGCGAAAAAGATTTTCCGCTAAATTTGTTCGGGAGAGGATCGCACCTTGTGAATGAGAAACGCCCATGTGCTCCGATGTTTATGACCCATTTGAGGTGAAACGCTCTCTCTCCGTTCCGAGAGTCTTCTGGGATCGTCCACGCTGCATTTATATACTAAAGTGAAAACTTGCCGATTTCTTCCGCCGAGAGAGAGAGGATGGGCCGACTGATGCTGGAAGAGTTCCAGTTCCCGTTTTCGATTCAGATTCATACAACAAAAAAAATTGAGAGCGGGATTTACGAGGGCACGCCAACGAAGTGACGAAGATGGGTTTTTTTTTGCAGACTTTTTTTTGCAATCTGGAGAGGAAGAGGAGCAAAATGCGGAAGGAAACGCTCTCGTGGTCGCAGTTTCGGCTCGCTCGAGTGACATACCGGTCCCGCGGTGGAACGCGCTCGTTTTTCACACTTTCGGCTTAAATGCTTAAGCCGACTGGTATTAGAAGCAGCTGTG